AATAAAAATTTCAAAAATTGTCTAAGACTGATCTGTTATTAGATATTAAATAGTACTTTGTTTAAACTAATTCACTAGCCCTTTATTTGAATTACCTGTTTTACTTGATCCAAATTTTAGACATTATTAATAGTGCTTTTTACTTTAATAGTTTGAAAATGTTGTCTGTGTTTTTGTTCCGATTTTCTATATTTTAAGGGTATCAGTAGCGCAATCCCAAATGATCTGTGCCAGTATGACTTTTCTTCACAGAACGGTGACTGTTGCAACTGTAAAACCTTTCGAGTATATCTAAAAGTTTATCTGCAACCATAGCCAAAGGTAGTCCCAACAAACAGACGTGTGTCATAAACATAATTACAACTTATCAATAAAAGCGAGCACTAACCCGGTAGACTCCGTGTCGCCACAAAACTCACTCTACCGTTCCCTTTATCGGATCCAACCTATTTGCTTTGTGGTTGCTGGGTTCTTCGTCGAATGAGCCGCGTTTACAAGTTGTAAATTATACAAATACCGATCAACAAAGGTGCAAACAGAAAGTACAGAAAAGTGGGAAGTTGAAATGATCTGCGTGATCATATATGAGTACATATACACATATATATATAGGTATCATTTTGTTTAGACTCAGGCTATTATTTTCGAAATCCTTTTTTAACTATTGCATTTTAAATATACTTTCACATCTAAGATAAAGAGCCAATTTTTGAATGATTTAAATTATTGTAAATAAATCAGAATCCTTTGGCTTATTTATACATAACTTCAACATTTCACTTAAAGTGCAAGGACTTCAGCTAATTACCAGCTCACAGCGATATAAGAAAGCACCCATAAGCTGTCAATAATTACAATAAAAATTGCTGTTTGGGTAAATCCATGCCATAAATATTTGTAAACAACTCCATCCTCGTTCGGCGATCTGTGCGTGGCAGCACTACTTAACCGATATGCTGCAATAGCTCAAAAAGGATGGGGGTGCTATAAAAGCGGAGTTTTATTTCAATCTGCCGCCTCCAGGTTGAATATATGGGCCTATCAACGGAAAAGCGCAATCGATCTGTGACCCACCATCGCACTCGGCTCCCCCGATTAGATAAGCCCCCTCGAAGGGCCAGGGAACCCACCGCCCACCTTCTACGGTTCAAAGTGAAAGCCGGTAGATCCCGGGGGCAGTGGATTCCAGTCCGGTAACCACGAGTCACTCGGCCGAGCGCGTCCTGGGTTGCATCCCCAATCCGGAGGCAAGGGAGAAACGGAACCCTGCCTCAGCCGGGTGGAGCCCACACGAGCAGCCAACAACTATCGATCTATAAAGAGGCACTAAATCAACAATGGCACCGCCGCACAGCACTGAGTGGAGTAAGAGCTATAAATAAATTATTTATAGCTTCGGTGGTGGAATATTGCCACCACACAGAGGTAGTAGACGGATCGGTCGGCGGTATCGGCTTGGGTCCGGTGTTCCACGGACCACGATTGCTATACGGCTGCACAAGGCGGACGGAGGCGGAGATGGTGGGGCTACACCGAATTGCACCGCTCTTGGATTCTCTCTCGATACAACACTGGGAATTTTTTACATAATTTAAGCTTTTGAATTCATATAAACATTATTGCATTTGAATATACCTACATACTGGCTTTTTTCTATCAAATTTAAATTACGATATACATTACCAGAATTATAAAAATATAAATCCTTTCTGAGAACATAAACTAAATTTATAGTTATATATACACTCTTTATGTATCTTAACCTCAGATGTTATATTAAGTATATGCTAAAAAATATATGGTATTGTAAGCATAAAGTTGCATTGAATAATCTGTTAAATCTGTTAATCTGGATCAGAAATTTTTTGTCTGTGTACGAGAACAGAGCGAACACACGAAAATTACGGTTTGATAACCGATTGTGTGCGTTGATAACTGATAGCCATGTTATTATTAAGGGCTATTAAAATTCTGATTGAAAATTCATGTCAAAAATATATTTTATTATCCATTGTAAAACTTCATTTCATTTCGGTTCTTGATTACAACCGGGCAATATGGAATCCAATCGAATCGTAACGATTCGAATTGTTCAGAAACGATTGCTTACACTTCTATGGTGATATGGCAGTGTCGGTGCATAGATAGCGTTTTCAAATAAAAGCCGGTAGACTTATCAGACTACTATATATGATGTCTGATGGAAATAAACTCTCTGTGTATGCTTTCTACGGGTTACGGCTCTTTCACTTACGACTCCATCGCTCAGGGTAATTTAACTTGCATGTCTGTTCATCGTATGGTTATATCTAAGGATTTGCGGAATAAACTTTAACCAGAGATATCACTTGTACCCTGAAAATTTCAAACAATAAAGAAATGTAATTTCGTTGCATTCATCTTATTTATCAACTTTTGATTTTAGCTTATTAAGTAGAAAGATACAATATTTCTAATTGCTGACAAGAATGTAAGAATGTATGTCGTCCTAAAGATTCTAAAGACTGCAACGAGATTTGATCTTCCTCTTTGCGAAGCTAGCTTTCTTTTATGTTTAAATATTTGTTCATAAGCTTTTAGAATGGTGTCAAAATGTATTAAGCTAAGGATTAAACAGTATCAATCTAACAATTTTAAAATTTCTATGGAAAGCTTCCGCTGAAAGAGGCATTTTCAAACCTTGAAAGTGTACTCGTTTAGGTTTATTCTTAGTATTCGAGATAAAAACAATTTAAATAGGCGCATATATTTTTTATAAGTAGGCACCCCTTTGAGATCTCAATTTTCTCCTACTAGCGCATTCCGTCGGTTTTTAATGGACGCGCGTCAGTTTTTTCCGCATCTCAGTCAGATTTGTGCATGGCTCTCTAATTGGATCTGGAGCAGAAAAGGAGTGGGATCGGTGCCAGTTCGATGGGAATCGGAGCGAAGAAAACTCCACTTGTTCACACTCCATCCCCATGCACTAAATTTAGTGTGTAATTCTTTAAATCGTTGCCATGTGTTGGAGAACGATGCCAAATCCAAGTGACACAAATATATATCCGAAGCTGGGATCTGGGGCGCCCAGAAATATTCAAATCTGTGACGGGGACTGGCGGGAAAAACGGGAGCTCATAACACTTATTTATGGCGCCGATGAAATGGGAACATTAGCTCTTTGTGTTTTGTAAATATTTGTCATAATTTCGAGGGGCATTCAACGACATGTGCGCTCCACTGAACAACCAGACGATTCTTATTTTGAGGGCATTTAAAGATGTCTCACTATCACTGGGTATTTGTTTTTGAAGTTGTGCTTTTAATGTCGCAATTAAATGCATGAGTTTTAAAGAATTAGATGCCTGTCAAAATTGTCTAATTTATGGTTCACAAAAAGCTTCGCCTCCAAGATGTCCCCCAAATTAAGAAGCAATTGGGTAGCCCATTTCTGCTTTATTTCAAAAGTTGAAATCTCAGACCACGAGTGGTGCAATTTGTATGTACTACTTTTCATATCCAATCATTTAAAACTATTATAAGTTCAATGGTTATTACATTTCAGGAAGTAATATTTTTAGAAGTATTTTCTTTTTTTTATAAACACCTTTTCGATAAAATGTTCTGCATAACAGTTTTACTTTTAAATTATTTAAGGAGTCATTTCAAATGATTTTAATTGTTAGGACTTTGAAAATGCAAAAATAATTTAAAATACCTAAAACCATTTCATTGTTTTAAAAACAATATATTGTGTTGCTTAGAATTTTTAATACATATTTAAACAGTATTTTTAACGGACAACATTTAGTTCATAAACTTAATACAATTCAATTGTATTTGCTCTTTTGACTTATTTAAAAAGCAATTAATAGAAATAAGTAGAATCATTTTTTCCTGTTTATACCTACTTGACTTCAAAGTACAGTTTTTGCGATAAAAACAATATAGTCAGTTGCATTTATAAAGATTAATAAATATACTATACTTTTATTTAACTTCCAAACCTTTTTTTGCAAGTTTCCTGTAATTGAAGTTGTTCCTGTGTAGTTCCGAAGATCTATAACTTCAACAGACACTCAGGGCTTAATTTTTCTTCACCAACTCCCATGTTAATCCTTTCTTCAACAGCAATAACCAGTAAGTAAGGCGAACCCAAGTTTACCACAATAGTAATGGAATTGCACACTTGAAATTAAAAAAACAATAGAACGGCAGACAATAAAAAGACGAAGCCCTGTGGCCCAACAGAAATGTTCAGAAACACCTATTCGCAGTGAACTCTCTTGCCCCAGGAAATCACTTAGCCACCGTTCGCCGGAGCAGAAAGCATTTGAAGTTAATGGCGCAAAAACCAATCGCGAACGCCAAGTCAAAGCTGCCAAAAGGGAAAAGGCAATTGGGGGATAGTCAAGTGTGAAGCATGCCGCATTAGTGTTTGCGTTGGTTCGCGGAACCACTTGAAATTAAATGGCGGGGCACTTCAAACGGCAAAGACAACAGCGATTACCAAATCGATTCCATGGCGGTTCGAGTTGGCCAGAACAAAACAAAAAAAAAAAACGAGGGGAAACAAGAAAAAACCAAAGAGCCCGCCCCCAAAAAGCAGAGCAGGTAAACCAAAGGCCGGCAAACACGCGCCACACGCACACGCACCACCCACTCCACCCCCCCTCCATTGCACCACTCACCTCCACCACCCCTCGCCACCCACTCCACCATTGTTCGGCGGGCGCATTGATTTGAACGAATCAAAGCGGTATGCGCACTAAAAATACCAACAACAAGCTACCAAAAATCCAGATTAACCATGGCCAGCTGGAAAGGGGGCGTGGCCAAGAGCGGCAAATGGTGGTGGCTGTTCCAATTCCACTTCGCATGTCGCCGTTCCAATTGGAACCACTCGTCGTCTCGCTCGCACTCGCAGTGATTGCGGCGCGCGGTGGTGGTGGTGGTGATGAGAGCGTTTCCGCCGAGTGGAAAAACTCGAGGGCCGCTCCGCTCGTCAGTCGCCTTCAGACGCTCGCTGACAGCGGTAAAATCGGAGCAGCAGCAATCCGAACGGTAAAAAAAAGAAAGCTGAGGGCAAAACAACGAGAGCCGTTCTCTCGCCGAAGTCGCTGCCTGCGTCGACGCCGCTGCCAAATCTAGGCGAAAATCGCAACACTTGGCGTACAAGCTCCGGATCCGGCTAAAAGTCAAGTGCAGGAGGCAGCAACAGCAACAGCAAAAGCAGAGGCAGCAGCAGCGAAAGCAGCAGCAGCAGCAGCAGAGTTTTCCAAGCTCGGCGGCAGAGATTCACTCTCGGTCGGGCGCCGGCGTCAGCGTTCCACGGGATCCGTGATTAGGTTTTACGGTTTTCAGTCCGCTCGATGACGCCGAGGCCAGCAGTTATGCGCCAAGCAGCAGCAGCCACCATAGCAGCAGCAGCAGCAAGCAAAGCAGCAGCTTTAAAGCCCTAAATCTGTGGCACTTCCTTCCGGTTGCCACGTTGCGTATACGCCACCGATACCGAAACCGCACTCGCATGCCGTCGCGTAAAAACCAAACAGTTTCAGTGCCAAAATCGAAGAACCGAAACCAGCTAACGAAAGCTCGAGTTTAACAAAACAAAAAGAAAACATAAATTTGAAAAAAGAAAGAAAAACTAAATCAGTGATAAATTCGAAATGGACGTGGCCAAAATGCAAGCCACTTCCGGCCAGCATCTGCTGCATCCGGCCGCACCGCCCGCCCACCAACACCACCTGCCGCTGGACTACAGCCTGGGCAACTTCAAGCCGGCGATTGCCTCGGACTTCCCCGGCTCCTTCCTCACCAGCCAGCAGTCCTCGTCGGCCTCCAACACCGCCTCCCCCTCCTCCTCCACCTCCGCCTCGCTGCAGGTGCGCGATCTCAGCGCCCTGACCGCCATGGCCGCCATTCCCTCGCCCACGCAGCTGCTCCACCAGCGGCTCCAGCTGTCCGCGGACGCAGCCCTGGGCCACCACCAGCAACAGCAGCAGCCGGCCGCCCAGAACCCGCCCCATCCCCCACAGCCCCAGATGCCGCCGGCCTCCACGTCGCCGCACGAGTACGCACCCATGTCCGCCTTCAAGGCGGTGCTCCCCAAGAAGCGAAACTCCGACGGTAAGCTGAAAAAACTCCCTTTGGTTGCGAATTCGTTGAGCAAGAGCTTACGAATTTATCACAAAATTGAGATATATATTTGTAGGATTGAAGAAATATTTTTGTTCAGTTAAAGTTCATTATTTTATATTGGGCCAAATGAAGTGAAGTTAGGTGCCTTACCACCAAAAAATTATATTGCATATTACATAAGGTGCAAATCGTCATTCAAAATGTTTACCTTGATTTGACGTTAACCTTTTAAAATGTGTTTGTTACTCTTTCCAATCTTCTACGTTTTTCTTGTATTTAATTTTTAACTACCGCTATGTTGTGTACTCGTTTCTTTTTTGAATTTTATAATTTAAAAACATGAAAGCTTAATTACACGGAAAAATTTACTAAGCTCATAACTGATAAGTTATTTAATGGCTGCTAGCCAATAAATACTTTAATAAACAGACCTAGTCTCTTACTATAAAACATTAAACTCTTTTTATATTTTTATTCTTAAGTTAACATTCTTGAGAATTTCAAACCCTAAAAATTCCATCCGTTTTTACTATCTCAACTTTATTTAAAGCAGAAAAACTTTTGCATAAACAAAAATAATTTTTTGCTTATCTTCTATCGGTGTGCCTTTTTATTGAACGCAATATTCTTTTTAAATAAAAATTTTATTTAAATTAGTTTATTAAAGATTTATGTTCTTTTCATTAACTAGAATTTCCTTAAAATATAATACTTTTGCAATATTTAAAATACACTCCAAAAACATTCCAAGTAACATTATAAGTATTTATTTATTTATTTACTTATTTTCATTAGACGGAAGAACTCAATGCTTCAATCAATGATATTCCAGAAAAGTCTTCAATATCCACATTTGTAAATTTAATTTTTGTGCAGCCAGCGAACAGATTGGCACAACCCCTTGGCTCCTCGCCCCATTTCATATTCCCCAAGTTAATTAAAAAAAAGGAAAACAAAAAGAGAATGAAATCAACAACACAGAACCCGCGAAACACGAATCCGCAACGAGCGGCGACAAATCCCCAAAAGGCAAGTCACGAGGCAATGTAGGAATTTTTTAAAAATTTATTTGAATAATGTGTGATTTTAAAATATCGCACCGACCATGTCCGAGTGGGAGCCCAAAAGGCTGCTCGGTGTCGGTTTAATTGGAAAAAAGCCCAAGTTCGGTGAAAGCGTGGAAAGCGGAAATTGTTCAGGGGCAGCAGGAGCAGATATTCATTATTCCGTTTGTGTGTGTGTGCGCGGCGCTTAATGGGCAAATCTTCTGTGCGGACATGGGGCGGAAAAATGGATATCGGGGATTGAAAAATCCATAGCTGGACCACAGATACACAGATACACAGATACGGATACGGATACGGACACGGGTACACGGGTGTGAGCGGCAAACAAACGGACAAACTTGTAGATACACAGGCGAGTCCAGTCCAGTCCAGATACACATCCGCATGTGTTTGTGTTCCTTGTGTCTGTGTGCAGACGCCGTTGTCATCGCCATCGCTGTTGAATTTCAAATATGAGCAGTGAATGAATGAATGAGTGCTTCTACGGGAGCCTCCGGCTTTCCTGTTGCCAGATATGAACCACAAAATGTAGCTTTAAACTGGTTAAAACTTAAATTTCACTGAAAGTTAGGTAACGAATCATTTGTAGTTCGTGATTGCATCCCAAGTGTTTGTAATATTTTACTATATATTGAAAAAAATGAATTTTTTTAACGTTTCTCAATTTTTTAAACTTTTCCTAGTATCCTAGTAACAGAAACGCTTCAAATTGAAGAAAAAAAAAGTGCATTACTATTTTTGATTTGTTAGAATCTTATGTAATTGAAAACATGAATTTTTCCTAAATAGTTTTTTGAAGTAAAATGTTTTCAACACGTAAACTTAAGCTTAAACAAAAGTTACTGAATTTTGAAGAGATCTTCAAACTAATAACCGACTCTTTTTCGAAACTTGATTGCTTCCTTTTTGTTTGTTAAGCATGTCTTATGTAATATTTTTATTTTTTTAATGAATGATAAATGATGAAAAAGAAAATAATTTTTACTAGATAAATATGTATTTGCTCTAAAAAAGAAAAAGGCAGGCGTATGTAATTTTGTATGTTTTAAATATGTTTTTAAAATCTTTAATTTTGTATATGTTGAACTTTAATAAAACACTAATTTTTCGAGAAAAAGGCCAAGTTGGCAGCCCAGTTCGGCACATGTGTGTGTGTGCTTTCTCTCAGTCTCTCTTACATCCCATATTTCCCCACTCGCACACACACATACACATGGTGTGTGGCAGCGACAAGCGGATTTCATTTACCGGCATTACATGTATCCAACGGATATGTTTTTAGCTCTCCACCGCTTCCAACACAGACGTGGATATGCGGAAAAAGCACACACACGCAGATACATTCGCACACTGAATTTTCAATTCCGTTTGCCGCGACAAGCGCTCCGCCCCCCTTTCTCCTCTCTCCTCCTTTTCCTTTCTCTAGAGAAAATGAATTTCGCTTTGTTTGTTGGAATATTTTCTCGGTTTTGGTGGGACAATATATTGGTTGATGTGGCCGAAGTTCACTAGGATCTTTGGTGACTGATTGGCCGCTCCTGTTGACGGGATGGGAATTTGGCTGAAATCTCCAGTTTAAGCTGTTGAATTTAATAGATTTTATTTATATTAGACCACAAAAAGGTAAGGGGGTAAAACCTCTTTAAAGGGTCTCCTAAAGTATGCTACAATATTTTTGAGCTTTTTAATTTCAAGGATATTTGGAAATATCAATGGACTTTAAAACACTTGGCTTGTCAAATGTAACACGAATGAGAAATCTTAAATAAATACCCTATACTTATAACAGTTTTTGATAAAACAATTAAAATTTCAAGAAAGTAAATTTCCCTTATATAACTCATATTTCCTCTTATTAATTTACAACCTTGCCCCGAAAGGTCAGACAGAAATATCGTCTCGATCTGCCATTAGCCCACCCACCCATGAGTGGATGATCTTAATTTTTGTCATTCGCCGCCGCCGTATGACTCAATTAATGATTCCACTGCCGTTTCTCGATCTAATGCGTGGACAGCAAAAAAAAAAGAACTTTGACACCGACACTCGTGAGTCACGAATTAAGTTAAATTGTGAAAATTGCTCGGACCCAGACTAAGAGCCGACTAATAGTCTGAAAGGGTTCATGGGTTAAACGGCGGCAGTACTCAAATTACTTGAAAATAGAGCTCAGAGCAGCATTGATTCATTCTCGGCTACAAAAACAAGCTCGCCCCCGCGAAGACATACTTTTCCAGTGATATCAGCCCAAAAATCAGAACGGTTGCCAGCGATCGACACATAAATTAAAGTTTCTGATTTATGTGCAGCACCTATCGGGTTATATGGGCTTTTCTTATATATGGTTCTCCGACCGCGTCGATATAAATTAAATAACAAATTTGTTAAGCCGTTTTCAATCACACCAAACAATTGAACAATTAAAAGAGCAATCGGCATATCACATCGAATAAATAATAATGCGTTGACAACCGCTTGCCCCTCAGCCAAACAATCTGGAAGTTTAGTCAAGAGTTTTAGGCTTATCTTAAAGAACTATAGGGAAAATTGTATTGACAGGCAGAAAAAGAATTGGTTTACAAATGAGTATAAATTAAATGGTTAAAATTGGGTTTTAAGAACTAAAAAAATAAACCCAATTAAGTGCAACCAAAAAAAAGTGATTTTGTTTAATTTTGAAAGAGTTGAAAAAAGGGTAGGCCTTAAAAAAATAAATTATTAAAAACATAATTAGCATATCGTAAAAATGTAAGAACTTTTGAAAAAATAGAAAATATCGTCAAAAAGCGAATAAAAAATTCTGATAAAACTGATATCCCTCGAATGAAACTCACTGCTTTATCTACTTATTATCCAACCCCGATCTAAGGCTACTAAATTATTTTCAGTGCATTCAGAACTCGACGGTTTACTCATGTGTACGATCGCAAAGTACATTATTGATCAATAACAAATTGTCGCAACGAAAATCAGAGCAATATTTATGAAATGTTTACGACACACGTCGTAATCATTGGCAACTCATCGCCTGTCATATATTTTTCAACTTCTCACAAGTAGACGAAAATTGGGCATTGTAAATCTATAAAGATATCCAAACCAGCCGGGCCAGCCAGTTAGCCAGTCCGCCAAATAAAGGAAAGCCAAATCCACACCCCGAGCAGCAGTGTATCTGTGTATCCGCAAGATACAAAACAGACGGACAGACAAGGAGGGTGAGAGATAGTTAACTACGCACACACACCGCACACGCGTTATGATTTACGATCCGAGGTAAATACATAACGACATCTAAACATGTCAATATCCTCCGTGGCCAGTTGTAAAATCGAAAGAGTAAAAGTATCATAAAGTAAGCGAGCGACCGACCGATAAGTAAACAAAGGCTAAACAGCCGCACAGCCAAACCACAGAAATACTCGTAGTTCGTGCAACACTAAGAAAGTGCAGAGCAGCTCGGTTCCCTGCCTCGATTTGTTCCCGTTTTCTGTTGTTATTTATGCCCTCGATTGCCGTCCAGTTCGGTTTATCATCGCTCGGATGTTTGACAAAGAAAAATCAATTTCCAGCGCGAAGGAGCAGGGCGCAAACCCTTCCCCGTTTGGCATTTGTCACGTCTGTTGTCCGTTGAATATCGAATATGGAATATTGAATATTGAGTATTGAAATTAGAAATGCCCCGATCGATTCCCGCCGCTGATAGTATGAAGAACTGCGATTTTCGATATCGAATTTGTACCGCCATAAAAGCTACCAGAGTAGATATCAGCTTATAACAACAATAAACCGTCTGATATCGTCTGAATTTGTACAACCGACAATGGGACTCATGTGCACCTTTGAACCCAAAAACAAACCGAATCAGAACCATAAGTTGAAATACCCATAAATAGCCATTTCACAAAATTACGTGTTTATTAT